AAAATCTTCATTGATGCACTGACTCTAATACGCGAACAGTCTGTGCGACTGTTTAAAGATAAAAATAAAACTTTGATCGTACAAATTCTACTACAATTACTGCTTTGTTCGCAGTCAATTTAATACGAACATTTTTTAACACAATCGTGTAATACGAACGAATTGCAATTAACGAACGAACGTGCTTCTATTATCCGTGATTTTAATTATATTTAGACGATACCAACACTCCCGTATATTGYTTCGCGCACGTTTGCAATAGTCATCTGAAACAGAAGAAAAAACAGAACTATTAATATCGCTTTTATAACAAACGAATATTAAAAGAATTGAAAAATTGTTTAATACAAAAATATACTTACTTCGAGTCTTCATTGATGAATGCACGATGGATATCCTACCCTTAAGATGACGATGAGCACACGTTTAAATTAAATAAAAGAAACTTACGGAGTTTCTTTACACGATAAAACGAAACTTTAACATGCGACGATCAACACTGATTCTACTTTCCGACTTTTTGATATTTTATTTAAACGATGCAACACACGAGTACTTCATTGCCTAMGCGCTCGATTGCAATGATGTTCTGAAACAGAAAAMGAAAAAGAACAATTAATATCATCGTCGTAATAAAAAACCATTGAAGTTATCATAGACATTTTTGATAGAAAAATATACTTACTTTTAGTCTTCATTGATGACTGCAGGATGGGTATCCTACCCTTAGGATGACGATGAATAAAATAAAATTAAAGAAAAATCTGAAAAGCTGAAACATACTAAAGATTATATTATAGTACAATATTCCCTGTTAATCATTTCTGAAGGCATTTCACACACTTTAAARAATATTCTATCATAAAGAATCAATATAAATTCAAGCAATATTAATTGTTCTAATCTCACTACTTGTATAAAATTACATATAAAGTATGTAATGTTTGTAAAAATATTAATTGAAAATTTTTAAGGTTATAGTATACAACTCAATAAAGAGTAACCTAAAAAATAAAACCTTTTTATAATATGCTATCTAATGAAAAACTTATTAAAGTATTTAACGTTAGATTGTAGAAGAATTATACGTTAGATAACATTAGAAATAAAATCAATAAATAGTTTAATACGTCACGTTCGTTAGATCTTAACTCGTTGAAGGACGGAGGGGGAATGRAGATCTCTCTGTRTATATCTCCTARAAGTATCGAATGCTCGGTGCTCGGCGCTCGGCTGTTTTCGTTTTTTTTCGGTTGTCTTTCTTCACCTCGAGAAATTCCTGGAAATATACACACCAATTCATAATTGCCTGTAGGCCGAATGTTTTGTTTTCTTAT